GGTGGGATTTCTGGTCACGTGCCTGGTTGGGGTTCGGGCGGGAGGCAACAGATCGATGTCTCTCTCTCACACTGATGTTTCTCTCTCTCCCCCCCTTCTCCTCTCTTTCAACTGAGAATAAAAAATAAACCTTTAAAAAGTATTACAATAAACATTTAAATAAATTTATTTCAAAATAAAAATTAAAAATATATATAAAACATATAAATATAATCCTATGTGGGGAGCTGAGTAGAGTTTATATAGACTGTAAGTTATTCTAGTAAGTCTGGAAGGCTTTCCACAAGCCGATAGATATCTATATATTTATGTCTGTATGTCTATATCCTCAGCACAACCCAGATTATGTCCCTTTTCTAATCAAAAACTTAACTGTGTCCACATTGCCAAATAACTGCCCCACCCCTCCTTTCCTACCTAGCCCTCTATATTTACATTATACCTGAACTAAACTATATATGTTAGAAAATTTTGCCATTTTTCCATGTTATTGTCTTTATCCCACACTTCTCTAAAACAAAATGCTCCTTTTCACACACTGCAGTTCTCATCTTTCAAGATGCCTGTAAGTTTCCTGAGGCTGCGGTAGCAGATTCCCACAAGCTGAGTGGCTTAGAACGGGAGAAACTTATTACCAGCAACTCACAATTCTGGTGGCTGGAAGGCCAGAATCAAGTTGTCAGTTGTCAGCATAGCTGCACTCCCTCTGAAGCCTCAAGGGGAAACCTGTTCCTTGCCTCTACCGGCTTCTTGTAACTGTTGACATTCCTGAGCGTGTCACTGCATCTCTCTCTGCTCCCTTTTCTTCTTCACATGAGTTTGTAGGGCCACTGCTGGCTGTGCAAAATCAGTGGCATCATCACACACTGTCGTGAGCAAGAGAGGATCCCCGAAAGGAGTCACCTCACCCATGTTTGTGTCTTTCCACAATGCCAGGTTTACTAGTGAAGATCACACAGGTTACACCCAGACAGGGGGAACTTGTAGAAGCAGCAGAGCAAGCCACCGGCACAAAGTGTTGGTCACTGGTGTTGCTGTGGATCAAGAGTTGGGTGTCGGTCTCAAGCCAAGCAGCTACAGTGACGGCACACACCTGATAGAGTGAAATTCCCATTGGACTCTGAGCACGACCAGTGATATAGCCAAGCTGGAGCGTCAAATGGTCTGAGCTCTAAGTTCTTATGGTCTGTGACAGGCAGCAGTCCCACTCATATCAGTATCTGGATGGAGTTCTTATCTGAGTGTCCAAACTTATGGTTTGGGGTGTTCAGGGCCCCTCCGAGGGTGTCCCCCTTACACTCCATCACCTCAGTCTTGGACATATTGCCATTTGACATAGATGTAATGGCTGACTGGCACTCCATATTGGATTGCCAAAAGGTGTCAAAAAAGTTGGCTCTGCCCATGTTCTTGCTCTCTGCACAGCTATACTGGCGACATGGCTGTGGCTCCGTCCTTGTATGCTGCCAAGCTCCCCTTGTTCCTGCTTGTTTTCAAGCCCTTATCTCTGTCCTCTCCAGAAATGCTTCAAACTACCCATTGTCCTTTTCTGCTTCTATAAGCCTGGGTTACTTGGTGCAAATCAACCTGCCAGACCAACAGAGGTGATCAGATCAGATGGTTTAATAAGTACACGATTTCTACTTTGCTTTATTACTGTATTGATTTATAGTGTATCTTGTATTTGGCTCCTATTTAGGGATGATTTTTCTTGGGTGAGTCTTGTTTTAGTAATGCTGAGATGTTAAAGAAGACTTTGCTGTTGTGTTGTTTGGCAGTTAGCCTTCCTCTTCTTTCTTTTCCTCTACCCCTTTATTTGTTTGGGGAATGTGGGTCAGGATAATCAAATTTTAATTGACTGGAATCTACCTTTAGGTCGAGGAACAGGAAAGTAATGAGTCTAAGAATGAAAGAAAATGAAAAGACAAAAGCAAAATCAGGGCCTTCTGCAGGAGAATATCACAACAGAACTGTGAGCTCATTTAATTTAACTGGTTTATTATGGATAAGGAGCTTACAACAACAAAAAATAGATAATGTGTATTCAAGATACAACTAACTGCATCTTCACACTTCTAGTACAGGGTTCCTGTCTCTGTCCATTAGATCAAGAGGCAAATGACCTGAAAGCGACATGAGATCAGGTTAAATTCAGCCCCATTAATTATACATTTTAAGTTTATGGTTGTATATGATCAGAATTTACATTTTCAAGAGATTTTATCATTTTAAAAAATCCCTTGGTTCATTAAATTCTCTGAACTGCTCTGAGATAGGATAATCAGCACTTAAAAAAAGAGATGTTGGTATTCATGTCCTGACAAAATTTTTAATATCTCTCCTACCTCTAACTTCCCTGTCTCTTTTTCTATTTGTTTTGCTTTTGCAGCTGTAGCTACAAAATGAGTCAGGAAGAAAGCAATACTAATGTATTTGAACAAAGGGATCTGTTGATTAGAACCATCATAAAAATATATTGCATGCTGATATTAACCTCCATTTTACAACTGAGGAAACAGAAGCTCAGAGATTAAGTGACCTAGCTAATTTAAATACCCACTAAATGGCAGTGCTATGACACGGTGCATTTAAAAAAACATGTAACATTTATTGAGCATTTAATGCATCAGGTAGGGCAAACATGAGACAGTGCTAGTTAACCCCTAGATAACCAGACATTTCTATAACCAGTACATCACATTGAAAACCACTATTATTGAAGTTTTTACTGTATTAATTGCTGTCATTTTAGCAGCTGGCCCAAAATAAATACTTTTCTGTTTACACAAGATTAATGTAGCCAGATCTCTTTGGAGACTGATCGTGCAATAGATTAGACTAAATGGTCTAACTCTGAATTATAAAGTAAAACAGAAAGCTGTGATTCTCAAAAGTTCCCAAATGAACAAAATATTGGCCATATAAAATTGACTGTGTCACTGTATCATCAATTATTATTTTTTACAGCATAAAATTTTTATAGTTAGAATTTGCCAGCTAGATTCAGTTTAGATGATCCCTTTTTTTTTTTTTTTTTTTTTGCAACATCCAAAGCATCATAGTTGGGAGCCAGTCCAATATATGCCTTCTTCTCTCCATCATATCTGATCAGGGTGTTGACCTTGGCCAAGCTCTGTTGCTCTGGTGCTTTGTTGGCCTTGACATCCACACAAGCATATTGATGTCTTCTGTCTTCTTCATGACTGGCTCCATCCCTAGTCAGGGGCAACTTGGTGGCGTAGCAGTCAAGTTTGTCTCTCCTGGGGACAATTTTGAGCTGAAGTGTCTTCCACTGTGAGAAGATAGGTGATGCACACATCTTCTTTTTTTATAGTTATGGATGCCTTTCGGCACTGCTTGCTTTGCCTTCAAGGCCTTTGCTTTGGCTTTGGGAGAGGCAGGGGCTTCCTTCATCACTTTCAGCATGATCTTTGTGAAAAGCTGTGTGATCAATTACTAATACCTAGATTTAATGAGCTATTTTTATTTTTAGTCTAATGGCATAGAGAGGAAATTTTATATTCTGCATAGTTTCTCCAAATTTTTTGCACATTATGAAAGATGATTATGAAGGTAAACTAAGCTAATTCTCTTGGAACATAAACTGAATATATATATGTATATATATGGGGGACCCTCTAAAATGGGATTTATTTATAAAAATGTGCATTTATTCTTAGATGTTTACACTTCAGTCAGTCACCTTCAAAGTGCTCTCCATTTGATGCAATACACCTATCGGGACTTTTTTCCCACTGCTCAAAACATTTTTTGAACGTGTAAGTTTGGATGCCTTTTAGTGTTTCTGCTGGGTTTTTTTTTTTTTTGGTCTCACCTCTTCCACATGGGCAAAACGTTTCCCTTTGAGGACTTTTTTCATCTGGGGAAACAAAAAGGAAGGCACTTGGGGTAAGATTGGTGGATGGGAGGGTGGGGCATGGGGGGGGTCATGCCATTTTTCGTCAAAAACTGCTGAAAGTTTAGCGTGATGTGATAGGTGTGCTCAAAAATCACTCATCATGAAATGGGCTAATGTGTTGAAAAAGTCTTCAAAAAAATTCACTGAAGCCAATGCAGGCTCTCACAACAAGGCCAGCTGGTACACTGATGCAGATGGGTTCCTAGAACACTCACCTGGCAGCAGAACCTGTACTACAAGGAGCCGGCCGGCCCTCCAGAAGACAATCCGGAGTTGTTTTGGGTCCCGTCTGGTATATATACACAAACTACATACACATACATAAAATTTTTAACTTCTACCTCTGATTGCTCTGTCTCCCTTTTTCCATTTGTTTTGCTTTTGAAGTTATAGCTACAAAATAAGCTGGGAAGAAAGCAATATTAATGTACTTGAACAAAGGGATCTGTTGACTGCAACCATCATAGAAATATATTGGATGCTGTTATTAACCCCCATTTTACAAATGAGGAAACTACAAATAACATATTACACAGAACACATATTACATGTGTGCATCGCATTACATGCATGTGTAGTTTGGGTACAATGGAAAAAGCCATTCTTGTCTATTTAGCTGAAACAGACCGTTAATAACACCTAAATATTGATGAGATCCGTGATTTTGAACGAAACTTCATTGTTGCTTTTTCCCCCACAAAGTTAAAAGAAAAATGGAGTGAGCTTTTAAGTGAAAACGGTTTTGGCATCATAAGGCAAAGACACAAGAAATGGTAAGATGTGGGCGGGCAGTCTCACAGCTGTGTCACAAACAACAAAAACTTCTCAACCTACTTTAGGTGGCTGTCAAGCCTTTTAGACATCTGGTTGATGGAGGTGATTCCCTCAAGGGATCGTTTCCCTTTTCATCAGCCCATCAGAGGACCGCGCAAAGACCCATTTTGAACCCGCTGGGCTTCCCTTCCCCTAGGCTGGGTCCGCCGGGCATTCCTGGCCACGCCCCCACCCGGCCCGTGTTGTCCCGCCCTTTCCACCTCCCACTTCCTGGAAACGTCTCTTTCTTAAGACGCCTTCTTGGGACCTGATTGGCTTAGGTGGCAACCGCTAACGGCTTTGGAATTTAAACCCGAGCTTCGGCCGCGGGCGCGGAGCTTCGGGAGCTTGGTGGTGGTCCCACCACGCTGAGAAAGCGGTAAGTCCAGGAGCTGTGACTTTTGGTGTGGTGGTCCTCTGTCTGGCACCATCCGCGCCTTTCCTGGGCCGAACCTCCTGCGGTTGCCTTTCTGAGTCTTGGGTCGGCCGAGCCCCGCGCGACCCGCGGTCACGCCCACTCTCCGCCTTACGGCTTTCCAACCCGCGGCCTCAGGCCCGGAGCTGCGGCCTCGTTTGAGGGGTACCCATTTTGCATCTAAGTCGCAGCCTCTTGTCCCTGGGATTTGAACGTGCAGCGGCTGGCTGAAGGGGGTTAGCCGCCAGTTAGAAGGTCAGCTCCCAGAAGGAAGGGATTTCTGTCGCTGCGACTGCTCTACCGCCCGATTGTAGAACAGTACGTAGTTGTGAGCGCTCAATAAATATATGCTGAATGAACCTTAGAGGCCGCTTTACCTAAAGGAGCCCTGTCCTTCGAAGCGCTCGTTCAGAAGGGAGGCTAGCTGAAGGGCAGGAGCGATGGGAGTCTAGGAAGAACTAGAACTTGAACTGAGTCTTGCTGTACATACAGGTAGTATTTCTGTAGGGAATAGGGACAATGATTTTTGTGGATGAGGGATCCAATTCAGGAAGATTGGATGTGGAACTGAGTATTTCTGACTTACAGATAGCTGAGATGCTGGCCAAACAAGAGCTACAGAGTAATAGTAATTAGATGATGATAGTGAGTGTTGTCTGTTTGCCAGATCCAATACTAGGCACTGTATATATATTGGTCCATTTATTCCCCAGAATGATGTTCCCTTATTTTTATATAATTTTTTAAGTCTGGAAATCGAGACTTAGAGATATTAAGGTCACATAGCTATGAAATGTTGCAACTGAGACTCCAACATAGTCCAGCCACAATCTATAATACCTCAGTCTCTGTACGAGTTATTAATGTGCAAGGTGACAGGGCAGTGTTAAGGAAGGCTCACTGATTTCTGCCATGGGCATTTGAGTGGGTGAGTGATAGTGCCATTTATTGATTAAGGAACTAAGAACCAATTTATTGGGGTGGACTGTTAAGCTGTGGTTTCCTGAATAGTAAAATGAGATTTGATCTTTCTGACTGGGTTTTTTTGGAAATGGACTAGATTTCTCTGTTAGGATCTTTTTAAGGTGTGCAAATGCAGCAATTTGCAGAGAGTTTCTGTGTGTGCCTGTGTTCTACTATTTATAATGGATGGTGATCTTTGATTTTGCATAAAGTTTCTTTTGAGTCTTCACTAAGGAAAGTTCCAGGTTAATTTCTTCCCCTTTGAGAAATTTCTTGTAAAACAATCTTACCATTATTTACTTGATATTTTTCAACATCTGCTCAACACTTTCAAAGGAAACTGATTCCAATATTGGGAAGTTTTTACTATTAAAATCTTTTTTTTATCTATAGCCATTTCTTCAACAAATGTTTATTCTGTAAGCTGCTATGTGCTAGACACTCTACTAGGCATTGAGGGTATAGAAACAAACAAATTTAACAAAAATCTACCCTATTTTTGCGTGTATAATGCATTCCTGTGTATAGTACGCATCCACATTTTAGTACTAATATGCAATTTTCGTATAACTTGCATTATTCATGGGAATTGGTACCACCACCACATAATGAGCATCCTTATTTTTCCCTTAAAAATCTTGGCAAAAAAGTGTACATTATACACAACAAAATGCGGTATGCCTCATAGAACTTACCTTTTTGTAGGAGAAGACAGGCAATAAATTAAATAAGAAAATTGTGTAATTTTACTTTGGACATTAAGTCAATGATGAAAAAGAAAACAAGAAGTGAAATAGGGTCAGGTGAGCAATTTTAAATAGTTTGGTCTGGGAAGGCTCACGGAGAAAGTGACATTTGAGCAAAGACTTGAAATAAACAAATTATGTGATTATTTGAAAGAAGAGTGAGACAAAGGGAAAAAAGGAATACAAAGGTTCTGCAGTGGGAGCTTGCCAAGGTGGCCAGTGTGGCTGGAGCTTAGTGTGCAGAAGAAAAAGTTATAGAGGTCAGAGAGGTGCTGATGGAAAATTGGGGAATGGGAGAAGAAGCAAGTTGTGTAGTGCTTTACAGGCCATTGCAAGGGTTATGACACTCCCATGTGAGCCATGGCAGGGTTTTTTAACAGAGGAGTAAATGAATTTACTTAAGTTTTAAAAGGATCATTTCAGTAGAAATAGTGGAAAGTGGCTCTATGGCAATGTTGTGAAAGTCAGATCAGCATGGCTGATGATAGAGTAGATAGGGGATGTGAAAAAAGAGGTTTCTGACCTGAACAACTAGAAGGTTGGAGTTAGCCAGTAAGTGAGATTGAGAGAACACAGTCGAGTGGGTTTGGTTGAGGATGGGGGTTAATTAGGACTTGTTAAATTTGAGGTGCATATTAGCCATCCATGTTGGAGAGGAGGTGTAGGCAACTGGATTAAAAAGTCTGGAGTTGATTGGGGATATAAATTTGCAGTTATCAGCATTTAGATTTAAAAGCCAGGATACTGTATAATAGCCCCAAGAGTATATATGTAGATAGAAAATAGAAGAGACTCGAGGACTGAGCTCTGGGACACTGTAAAAGTAAGAGGTTCCAATAGCTGAAGAATAAGCAGCAGAAGAGACTTAGAAGAAGTGGTTAATAAGAAAGGAGAAAACACAGAAGAATGTGTTTTAGAAGCCAGCTGAAGAAAGTATTTCAAGGAGAGAAAGTTCTGATATTAAATACTGCATATAGATCAAGTGAAATGAGAAATGAACATTGACTAGTGTATTTGATTTAGCAACACAGCAATTTAATTATTTTAATGATCAATTTGTATATAGTAGTGGTGAAAGCAAAAACTTGTTTGAAGTGGATCAAGAGAATGGAAGGGAATGAACTGGAGAGAGCAAGACAACTTTTTAAAGGAGTTTTGTAGCCCTTTTGGCTCTCTGAGCAGCATCATGGTGGTGGGCAAGAACAAGCACCTGACAAAAGGTGACAAAAAAGGGAGCAAAGAAGGGAGAAAGTGGTTGATCCATTTTCTAAGAAAGATTGATATGATGTGAAATCACCAGCTAAGTTCAATATAAAAAATTTTGGAAAAACACTAGTCACGAGAACTCAAGAAACCAAAATCTCACTGGATGGTCTGAAGGGCTGTGTATTTGAAGTGGGCCTAGCTGATGTGCAGAATGATGAAGTTACATTTAGAAAATACGGGCTAATTACTGAGGATGCTCAGGGCAAAAACTGCCTGACTGATTTCCATGGCATGGATCTTACCCATGACAAAATGTGCTCCATGCTCAAAAAATGGCAGAATATGATTGAAGCTCATGTTGATATCAAGATTATTGATGGGTATTTGCTTCATCTGTTCTGTGTTGGTTTTACTAAAAAACACAGCAATCAGATTTGGAAGACCTCTTATTATGCTCAAGATCAACAGGTCCACCAAATACAGAAGATAATGATGGAAATCATGATTCGAGAGGTGCAGACAAATGACTTGAAAGAAGTGGTCAATAAATTGATCCCAGATAGCATTAGTACAGACATAGAAAAGGCTTGCCAATCTGTTTATCCACTTTATGATAGAAAAGTCAAAATGCTAAAGAAACCCAAGTCTGAATTGGGAAAACTCTTAGAGTTTCATGGTGAAGGTAACAGTTCTGGAGAAGCTACTGGGGAAAAGACAGGCACTAAAGTTGAACAACCTGGTGGATAGGAGCCCCCAGTGCAAGAATCTGTTTAAATTCAGATATTTAATGGTGACAAATAAACAGGCCTATTTGTGATAAAAATAAATAAAGGAGTTTTGTAGTAAAGGGATACAAATAGGACAGTAACATTCCAGAATCAAGAGATCACTTGTATTTTCTTAAATGTTTTATTTTCATGCATTTACACATGTCAGTCCTTTTTCTGGAATACCCTTTCTAATATTGATACCTGACAAAGTCTTTGTTTTTAAGACTTACTCATTCAACAAATATTAACTATGTTTATGTTATTTTACAGGCACTGTTCTATGATTTGAGCAACATATCAGTGAATAGGACAGAACTTATGGAGCTTAAAATGGGGAACTCAAACTCTAGTTAGGGAAGACAGACAATAATTAAATTCTATAGTATACTAGATAGTGATTTAAATGCTGTGGGAACCATCAAAACTCCCCATTCCCACAACCCTGTCTTGTTCGCTTAGTTTGTTTTTTAGATTCAATTTTTGATATGCATTCATTGCCATTTTATTTTTCATAGTTTTTTATCTTTTTCTTAAATAAGTCCCTTTAACATTTCATATAATAATGGTTTGATAATGATGACTCCTTTAGTTTTTTCTTGTTTGGGAAGCTCTTTATCTGCCCTTTGATTCTAAATGATATTTTTGCCGGGTAGAACAAAGGGCAGGTTGTAGGTGCCTGCTTTTCATGACTTTGAATACTTCTTGCCCATCCCTGCTAGCCTGCAAAGTTTCTTTTGAGAAATCAGACAGTCTTATGGGAACTCACCTGTAGGTAAATAACTCCTTTTCTCTTGTCGCTTTTAAGATTCTCTCTTTATCTTTAACCTTTGGCATTTTAGTTACGATGTGTCTTGGAGTGGGCCTCTTTGCAAATGTCTTGTTTGGGATTCTCTGTGCTTCCTAGACTTGCATGTCTATTTCCTTCACCAAATTAGGGAAGTTTTCTTTCATTATTTTTTCAAATAGATTTCCAATTTCTTGATGTTTCTCTTTTCCTTCTGGCAAACCTATGATGCGAATTATGGAACCCTTGAAGTTGTCCCAGAGCCTACTTACATTATCCTCAGTTTTTTGGATTTTTTTTCTTATTGTTGTTCTGATTGGTTGTCAGATCAGAGGTGGGAAAATAGGTGAAGATGTAAGGGGATTAAAAAGTACAAACTGGTAGTTACAGAATAGCCATGGGGATGTAAAATACAGTGTAGGAAATGGAGTAGCCAATGAGCTTATAGACATGACCCGTGGGCGTGAACAATGGTGTGGGGATTGCCTGAGGGGGTGTGGAGTACTGGGTGGAGGGGGACAATGGAGGAAAAATTGGAACAACCATAATAGCATACTCAATAAAATATAATTTAAAAAATAAATGTTATGAGGAGAAAATAGAGAAGTGGAAGAGTTATCAGATATTCTGAGGGAAGGAGCTACAATTTTGCATGGCCTCACTGAGAAGATGACTTTTGAACAAAGACTTGAGGGCGAAGAATGAATGAGCCATTTGTGTATCTGGAGGAAGAGGTTTCTCTGTAAAGAATAACCAGTACAAAGGACCTGAGGTTGAAGAATGCCTGACATATGCCAGAAGTAGGAAGGTCTTTGTGGCCAGTGTGTCCTGAAAGGAATGGGCTAAGGGAGAGAAGGAGGAGTTCAAAATTAGAGAAATAGGAAGAAGAGGAAATGGCAAAGGGATTTCTAGACCATTGTAAGGACTTTTTTTTTTTAACTCTGAGAGAAATGGGAACCATTGAGGAGTTTTAGACTGTGTAGTCCAATAAATACATGACAGTGAGGGCAAAGGTGAAAGTAAGGGGATAAGAGGCTATTGCCATAATTCAGGTGAGATATGTTAGTGCCTTGTTCTAAGTTGGTGGCATTGGAGGTACAGAAAAAGTGGTCAGATTCTGAATGTATTATGAAGGTAGATTGGGGTGTGAGATTTTTGGCCAGTGCAACTGGAAGGATGGAGTTGCCATTAACTGAAATGGGACAGCTCTGAGTGAAGCAGGTTTGGACAGTTTAAGTTTGCTATGCTTGGTTTACTTATCCAAATGGAATTGCAAGTAGACAACTGTGACTCCAGGGAAATTCAGGAAAGAGATCCAAACTGAGGATTTTTGAGTTCTTGGCCAGGTGTTTTAGCCATGACCGTGAAGTCCCTGAAGTCGCCAAAGGAGTGAGTGTAGATAAAGAAGCAATCCAAGGAGAGAACCTATTATAACTTGGGAGAATTTGTAAGAGACTGAAAAGGAGCAGCTGGTTAGGTAGGGAGAAAAAAACCCAGGAGTCTGGTGTCCTGTATGCTAAAGTTTTTGAGGAGGAAGAAGATATTAACCATATCAAATGCTGCTGATATATCAAGTTAGGTGAGGACTGAGAATTGACCATTAGATTCAGCAGTGTGAGAGTCACTAGAAAGTTTGGTGAAAGCAGTTTTGGTGGGGAAGTCAGAGTAAAAGCCTGAGTGAAGTAGGTTGGCAAGGGAACTGGAAATTGTGAGTATAGACTGTTCTTTCAAGGAGTTTTTGCTATAAAGGGCTACAGAGAAATGCAGTGGCAGTCTGAGGATGAAGCGGGAACAAGTGAGGGTTTTTTAAGATGAGGGAGTAGCAGGATGTCTGTATGTTGATAGGAATGATCCAGTGGAGAAGGAAAAAAATCGATAGAGGAGGGAGTTGTTGAAGTGATGCCTTTGAGGAGGCAGGAAGGCATGAGGTCCAGTATAGGGACCTCTGTCTAAGTAAGGCGAGCTTGGCCTTAGATGGAAGGACAGACAGATAGTTCACCCATCATAATGTGAGAGAGGACAAATGGACGAATACAGATGATGGGTTTTGAGATAGTCCTCTACAGGTTGCTTCAGTGCCCTTGGAGAGCAATAATGAGTAAGGATAAGAAGTTATCCGCTCTTAAGAGGAGTGACCCAGGAGAGTTGACATTGACAATAGCACTGATGGGTAAGGGGGGGTCTTGGAGACTAATAACATTACATTCAAGGCTAAGGATTTTTTTAGGGAAATAGGGAACGAATGGTCTCCAAGTATGAACTCGGTGCCATCCTTCCAGAGGGAGGGCTATGGGAGAAAAAAGAGCCACTGCCTGAAAGGACTGCGGAATCCACATCATCCTGGGAGAGGCTGGTTCACGAAGATGAGAGGACTGCTCAGGGAAGAGACTGAGGCTAGAGGTTTTGATCGATTGTGAGTTCCAGAGGACTTCACGAGTTGGGCAAGCGTGAGATATGGAGACTATTCATTTCCTATGACCGAGGTAAAAAAATTACCACAAACTGGGTGGCTTAAAACAACAAAAATTTATTTTCTCACAGTTCTGGAGGCCAGAAGTCCAAACTCGGTATCACTGAGCTGAAATCAAGGGGACTGTGGGCTGCATTCATTCCAGAAGCTCTAAAGGTGAATTCATTCCTTGCTTCTTTCAGCTGCTGATGGATGCCGGCAATCCTTGGCTTCTGGCCACATCACTCCAATCTCTGCCTCTTTCTTGTAAGGGCATCTACCACTGGGGGCATTTGGGCCTACCCAGATAATCCAGGATAATCTCCCCATCATTAAATCCTCCATCACATCTGTAAAGACCCCTTTTCTACATTAGATTTACAACCTGGATCAGGACCCATTGTCTTTAGCTGACCATTTTTTACCCACTGCAGGACCAAAGAAGGGATGTTCAGAGCTGGAGAAGGATTAGGTGAGGGAGGTAAGAGTGACCTGTTGGTCTGAGGGTTCCTGTGGTGATTGACAAGAGGGCAGAGTGAGATTAGTCCTGTGGACTCAGTAGGTAGTTCGTGGTGGAGAGGCTGAGTATTGGGGGTTGGCCAGTGCAAGTGACAGGGACTCTTCCAGATCTCTGCAGATGGAGGCAAGGGAGCTTGGGGAAGGCGATGGGGGCTCGGGGGTTGGTCTTGTCCAAGGACATGGCTCCACATCTGTTGTATTTTCTAAGTAAAATCTTTTCTGATCCTTTTTTTCCAGTTCAGGCAGTTAATCACTTTCTATACATTGTATATTATAGTCATTATTCTTGTCATAATGTGATTATCTTCATGTTTTCACTATTAGACTTTAAAGTCAAATGGACCATAACTCTAATAGACAAATAGAGGAATTTAAGATTTCCCGCCTTCTCCTCCAACCTCACCCCTGAAATATGATTAGGCATATCTCTAAGGTTACTCTTTGTACCTTGTATCAACCAGTGCCTGTACCCACATTGGATTATGCATTCTTAAACAACGGTTCCTCTTTTCTGTCCCCAGCCTAGTCTAGATCCTGGCATGTTGATATAATACAGGTTTAAATGGAAAAAAATAATTTACCTTTTTTGGATTCTACTTCAAACCATTTTTTATTACATTCATACTTTCAAATTTTATATGAAGGATTTTATAAATACTAATGTGTAGACAGATTATATGACTTGTCATGATTGTTATTTTTAGAATGTATCAGTTATACTTTTTTCCTTTATTAATCAATGCTATAACTACCTGCCTGCCTTCCTGCCTGCCTTCCTTCCTTTTCTTTTTTTTCTCCAGTGATGGAGTACCCAGTGACAGAAGGTGGATCACTTCCTTCCTCAGGAATTAAGAAACATGGGAAAGACAAAAGAATGTCAAAGACTGCTAAGTTGAATGTTTCTCTTGCCTCCAAAATCAAGACAAAAATAATAAGTAAGTGCCATTGGTTTTAAAGTATGCTCACATTTTTACTTTTCCCTGGAGAATTGATAGAGTATTTGGTACTTTATTTTATCAAGTACAGAAAATGACTAAATGACTTTTTGTGAACTTACACTTCCCCCCCTTTCAGTCCTTCCTATTACCTTCAGCTCTTTTTAGTTGAGTGGTTATGATGATTTGCCTTCGGTGGTGACACCTGAATTTTCAGCAGTGAGCCTGGTACAGTGTAAGGCAGTTAGTTACCTTCTGTACCGGAAGGACAGTACCAGTGTGACATTCCTGGAAAAGAGCTAATAAGTGGTAGATCTTTTTGGCATGCTATAGCGATGGGATGATGGGTAATCTAGAGGTCGTTGGCCCAGATAGGGTGCTGTAGTGTGTGATTTTATATAGCCAAAACTCATGATGAGGGCACTGAGCACTTTAAAGATGGAGTTTCATGGACTCTGGACTTAACATGTCAGAAGGGCAAAAAAATTTTTTAAAGAAAGTAAGAAAAAGAAAAGTAAAGAAATGGGGAAAACTCCCTAAGACAATTTTTTAAAACTTTTGAAAATTATTTCAGTGGTTCACACCCATCTTAGCAGGAGCAGGGAAGTGTTTTCCTGATGATAAAGCAGCTGCAGAGGGTAACTGCCTGGTGAAATAGCCAAACCTTCTGAGTTTCTTCAAATTAAAATGTTACTCCTACCGAGGTATCTAAGGCCATGTGGTATATTAGACCACCCCCTACGGTGGCTGTTTCCTGTTGTCTTGGTAGGACCTTCGCACACCCACTGTTATGAAGGAGTATACTGAGGCTGAGGACTGCAGCGGGAAAGCTATCGTCCTTTAGCTTATGGAAGCCCTCAACTGGTTCTAGTCTCTCCATTCGCTATGTCAGAGGGAGGTGCCTGTCTGAAACGACTGTCTCTGTGCCAGAGATAAAGTGCTTTTTTAGGACCCTGTTTTTTAGCTGCCTGGTCTTTCCCTGACTATTTTAAAAATATTATTACTTTTATAAACACTCTTACATACACTGTACTTTTATTCAGTGGCATGTGAATCAGTTATGAAAATAAGAAAATGCTCCAAGTGTACAAAAGGAGCACACTATAGTTAAGGTGAGATTTACCAAGGAATTCACATTACATTTTTTTGCTAAACATAGGAAGTATTTCTGATTTAAATTATGTTTACATAGGGCTTGCAAAGAGAGGGGGCCATGTTCAGATTGTAATGGATGCCCACATATAAGAGGTAGGATTTGAGATGGAGGCAAAGTGCCCCATAGGGTTTAGATGGTCTATCCAACATTATACTAAGTATGCTCCCTTTCACTAAAAGTTTTGAAAAATGGACTTTGGGAGATTTAACTAATTTGTTCAATTCTGGAGCCACAGAAACTGGCTTTAAATTTCTCAGATTGGCCACCCTAATTTCTATGGAACATTTCCAGTTAGAGTTGCAGGATCAGCCTCTGCATTCTACCTGCTAGTCAAAGGCAAAAAGGAAGGTAGGGTAGCAGGTATCAGAGATGCAGTTTTTGTGATTGATCTAATTATCTAGAGTGCTGCATCTATAGAAGAGTCCCCTTAAGCCTAACTCTGTATTCACAAACATTCTGCATTTCTCATAACTTTTACCTATCTATCTAGCTCTTATTTTCTTCACTTCCAAACTCTACATTTTTTTCAAAACTCCATCTGTATTGTCATTTTCTTCTAAACTTCAGTTAAAACTTATAAAGTGAAATGCATTTTGTCTAAAATGGTTTTATTAAGGAATGTGAAAATTTACTAAGGTATAAGTTCAACATTAACTATTAAAAATTTTTTTACAGACAATTCTTCTATTTTCAAAATATCTTTAAAGCACAACAACAGGGCACTAGCTCAGGCTCTTAGTAGAGAGAAAGAGAATTCTCGAAGAATTACAACTGAAAAGATGTTATTGCAAAAAGAAGTGGAAAAACTGAATTTTGAGAACACATTTCTTCGCCTAAAGCTAAATAATTTGGTATGGAAACTACATTGTGTTTGAATTCTAAATTATAACTAAAATCTTAACTGTATTATTATAGAAGCTCTAAAAAATGTTTTTCAGCACTCCAGTTGTGAAAAATTATTGAAAGAGCATACCATGTTCATGGGCAAACTGTAATAAAATCGGTGCTTAACGCTACATTCTAGATGTGTGGGTGCGGCTCCGCAGACCTGGATAATAAATCCCTTGATTAACCTTTGATTGCCTATCATAAGCAGAGCTTTGTGCATTAATACATGTTAACAAGATGGGCTCCTCCATCTTATTAAAATTCACTTCTCCAGTGAATTGAAAGGAAGGGCATTCCCAGAGTGTCTACATTCCTTTAGTCTCAGCATTTCGCTGGCTACAAACCAAAGAGAATGGAGGTTGTAGTCATTGCTTTTCCTTCCAATTTCCACCTCTGTCCATAGACAAGGCACTAAGATCCAGTAATTAGCTAGGCTGCAACTATACGACCAGCTCTAAAATTAGTAGAAATTAATTTAAAAATGCAAAAATGAACTATTACACTTGAGGGTTAAATTCCTGTGGCTGACAAACATATTATACTTGCCTTGTGATATGTATTATTATTATTATTAGAAGGTAGAAAAATGTTTGTAGAAAATTTATGATTGAGAGTTTAAAAGCATTCATAATGTGTGTGTGTGTGTATCTACTTAAACTATGTAGTATAGTACCTTTTTTGTTTTAATCTTTAGAGGGGAAGGGAAAGAGAGAGGGAGAGGAATATCAATGTATGGTTGCCTCTCCTATGTCCCCTGATGGGAACTGGTCTGCAACCCAGGCATGTGCCCTGACTGGGAATCGAACCGCAATTCTTTGATTCACAGGCCTGCGCTCAGTCCACTGAGCTACACGAGCCAGGGCTTATAGTACCTTTTAAGTCAGTGTGGTTTCAGTTTTGGCCCAGTGTTATCTCATTTATTTTCTAAGTCTTGTCAACTGATTATATTCATATTCATGAATGTATGGTATAATAAACTCCAAATCTTAATTGATTAAAGGGGTCTTTCTTTTTGTACTTACACAGAATAGGAAGCTAATAGAAATAGAAGCACACGTGAACAATAACTTGATAACTGCAATTGAAATGAGCACTCTTTCTGAGGTAAGAAAAAATACGTGTAAGTAGTGCGGTTTTTTAGCACTCCTGAGAATGATGGACGTTAGTTAAGTGGCATCAGGATTAGAGATGCATATCTTAAACTTTGTGCAAAGGAATGATGATAATATTAATATTAACCAGCTAACAGAACATTATCATTTGGTATAATTGCTTATTGAAACTTTCCTATAACAATTAGGTTTTGATTAAAAGTACCACAGGATTAGACAGCGCAGCAGAACATAATGACCCCTAAACACACTACAAAACATGAAAGACATTAGTAGAAAGGTATTATTTCAAGTTAGGAAATAATTTGTATTAGTAAAAAAAATGAACAGGCGGCTCTCCCTCTCAGGGAGCACACCGCTCCTTCCCCTTCCCTCCCTTCTTCCCCTTCCCTCCCTTCTTCCCCTGCCCTCCCTTCTGCCCCTGCCCTCCCTTCTGCCCCCTCCCTCCCTTCTTCCCCTGCCCTCCCTTCTTCCCCTGCCCTCCCTCCTTCCCCTGCCCTCCCCTCCCTCCCTTCCCCTTCCCTCCCTCCTTCCCCTTCCCTCCCTTCTTCCCCTGCCCTCCCTCCTTCCCCTGCCCTCCCTCCTTCCCCTTCCCTCCCTCCTTCCCCTTCCCTCCCTCCTTCCCCTGCCCTCCCTCCTTCCCCTGCCCTCCCTCCTTCCCCCTCCCTCCCTCCTTCCCCTGCCCTCCCTTCTTCCCCTCCCTCCCTTCTTCCCCTTCCCTCCTCTTCCCCCCTCCCCTTCCCCTCCCTCCCTTCTTCCCCTTCCCTCCCTTCTTCCCCTTCCCTCCCTTCCCCCTGCCTCCCTTTCCCCTCCCTCCCTTCTTCCCCTTCCCTCCCTCCTTCCCCTTCCCTCCCTCCTTCCCCTTCCCTCCCTTCTGCCCCTTCCCTCCCTCCTTCCCCCTTCCCTCCCTTCTTCCCCCTCCCTCCCTTCTCCCCCTCCCCCCTCCCTCCCCTTCCCTCCCTCCTTCCCCCTCCCTCCCTCCTTCCCCCTCCCTCCCTCCTTCCCCTTCCCTCCCTCCTTCCCCTGCCCTCCCTCCTTCCCCTGCCCTCCCTTCTGCCCCTTCCCTCCCTTCTTCCCCCTCCCTCCCTTCTTCCCCTTCCCTCCCTTCTTCCCCCCCTGCCGGGCGCATCACCTCAGCTTCTCTCTCCTGAGCTCCTGGGCCCTTCTTTTGTCCTGTAACTTGTTTCCAGAGTCCACACAGCCCAGCTGGTGCACTTGCAGCACCGTGGTACCTTTCTAAATAACCTTTCTCTTATAATTTGAAAAAAAGAAAGGGAAGATGGGCATAATTGAAAAACAATTAGGGAAAATATAGAGGAAGATCCTACTTTATACCATTCTCTAAAATAAATGCTAGATGGATTTAAATGTAAGAAAAGGAAACCATATAAAATGAGAATAAATTACAAATGAATTCACATTAGGTAGGAGAGGCCTTTCTGTACCCAGAAACATAGAAACCATAATGGAAGTTATTAATGGGTTTTTCTCAAAGAAATTTTTAGAAGCTAAAAATAGTAAAGACAAAAAGGTGTTACAGATGGGGAAAATTAAACATGTGCCAGATAAAGCATTAATATTAATAGTTTAAAAGCTTTTATAATCTAGCTTAAGGAAAATAAAATCAATAAAAAATCAGGAAGGGAGAAAGACCAAATGTTAATGAAATTAACTCAATTATCTAAATAAGGAAAATAATTTTTGAAGGAATAACTAATGAGAAGGCAAAATATATAATAGATAAATGAAGAAAGGTCAGTGAAGTATCAATTGTAGATAAATTTCTTGATAGCTTCTGGAGGCAGTTTGGTGCTTCAGAGGGTGGCTTGTATATGAGATTGCCTATTACATCACAGCTCTGCTACTTCCTAGTTCTGTGACCTTGTCCTCAAACTCTTTAAACCTCAGTGTCCTCATCTGCATGGTGTGAATAATGGAGAGTTAGTGTAAGAGTTAAATTTGGCTAGCATGTGTTCTGGCAATAGAATGAGTACAATAAATGTCAGCTCTCATTACTTTTAATTGTGTGTGTATTTTCCTGTATTTTCTAAATTTTCTGCAAATTACCCTTTTAAAAACTTATAAAAGCCATTTATAAATCTCTTAAATGCATAGTCTTTGCTATAAGAAGATGTGAACTCTTTCAACCTATGTAGTCAATGTTTAGCTCCTTTGTCAGAATTTTTTATAAAAACTAGCCAAAGAATAGGTATTTTATTGTGTAATGTAATCCACATTTGGATGAAGAAAGGATTTGTGGGAATGTCCCTGTGGAATAATGTTTACAGGAGGGGTAATTACTAGCCTCATAAGTTTGACACCTAGGACAGCCAGTGAGCAAAAGTGTTGTGCCTTACACATTTAGCACCTCCTAAGGAAAAGAGATACTTTTCACTCAGTGGGTGGGTAGAGGGAGTCAGGGAAAAAAGCAAGCTTTGTTTTTGCTAATCAGCTCGCAGGGCTGAATTGAATTGCCCTGAATAAATCACTAAGATTAGAGTCAGATATAGCACTGGGGAATGTCAAGTCCACAGATATTAACTTAGAGAGTAGGAGAAGGAAGCTAATTGGCAAGATATGGAAGGGTGGAGGGTCATACTATACACATCTGAAGGAACTTTGAAGAACAGAGAGCCAAAAAAACATTACTCAACTATTCATTATGAGTTATGTGATTTAAAGCTCCTTCCCTCCATTGTCTCTAAAAAACCTTTAGTAGAGTCAATGTTTCTAGTAAAGTCAGTGTTCTCAGAAGCTTTTTGTATGCTTCTCTTGGGAGAACTATAAGAAGGGCTGAGATCAGCATCCAGACTTAGGAAAAGTAAATAACAGAGGGTAAGTAAATGCAGAAGATGAAGGATGAAGAGACAACATATAACTCGGGTGTCTACTTTCTTGGACTTGTTGGATTTTTAAAAGATTTTATTATTTATTTTTAGAGAGGGGAAGGGAGGGAAAAATAGAAGGAGAGAAACATCAGTGTGTGGTTGCCTCTTGCATGCCCCCATCCAGGGACCTGACTGGAAATCAAACCTGTGACCTTTTGATTTGCAGGCTAGCACTCAATCCACTGAACCATACCAGCCAGGGCAGTGAGGTTTTTTTTTGAAGTTTTCTTTGCGTATAGTCTGTACGCATTCATAAAAGTGATACATATACTAAACTCATTTTAAAAATTTGTATCTTTTCCTCTACTCTGAAAAACTGACAAAAGAATTATTTTTTCTTTAAAGGTTTCATAGAATTTTTCTGTGAAACCATGTGGACCTGGATATTTCGTGGTGGAAGTGGTTGTCCTTTGTTAACTTTATTTCTTCTATGAATATTGGTTTGTTTAGGAAACCTCTTTTTATTCAATTATATTTCCTTAGAAAATTTTCTCTTCATCCATCTTTTCAAATTGATTTGCATAGAGTTGACCAAGTAATTTGTTTTCATTTCTTCTGTATTATATAATTACCCCAATTGACTAATTTTATGTATTTGGGTTTTTTTTAAATCAATCGTGGGACTTAATTTTGAGTTCTATTTTGATATCTCAAACTTATTTTTGCTTTTATCTTCAACAGTAAGTCCTTCTGCTTGTCTGTGGTTTATCTTATTGTTACCTTTCTCACTTTGAGGCAAATGCTTATTTGTTTTTCATTCTTTCGTACCTGTAGGTAAGGTGTCATTCCTCTTACAGTGCTCCCCGGATTTTTGTCTGTGTCTTTAGTGTGGAGAAGGTCGACTGTGCTGTGTCTGCATGTGCTTTTCTTTGAGCTTGTCTTTGGGAATTCACTCCCCTTGAATATGCAGGTGGATTTCTTTTGCCAAGTTCGGGGCATTTGCAGCACTGTTTCTCCAAAACACTTTGGCCTGCCCTCTTTGACATTATGTTTTTGTTATAGTCCCACAAATCTCTGATCCTCTGTTAATTTTTTCCCGTCTCTTATCTCTTGCTCAGACTGGGTACTTTTTATTGTTCTCTCTTCAAGTTCACAAACCCTCCCCCCTTCCCCACTCTCGTTCATGCCTTCTCTACTTTGCTGCTGAAATTTTACTTTATTCTAATTATATTTTAATTTAATTTATTTATTATAGTTTTTTAAAGTATTTTATTTCTTTTTTTTATCTTTAGAGAGAGGGGAAAGGAATGAGAAAGAGAGGGAGAGAAACAGCAATGTGTGGTTGCCTGACTGGGAATCGAACCGGTACCCTTTGGTTCGCAGCCCATGCTCAATCCAGTGAGCTACACCAGCCAGGGCTATTAATTATAGTCTTAAATTTCCATTCTGTTGTTCTTTACATTTCCCATTTATTTGCTAAGACTTTGTTTCTTTGCCAAGATGCCTCTTTTGTTGTTGTGAGCGTGTTAGTAGTTGCCTGTTGAGGCATTTTTATGATAACTGCTTTAAAATCCTTGTTATGTAATCCCAACATCTGTGCCACCTTGGTGCTGGTGTCTGTTGATTGCCGTTTTACATTCAAATTTAGATTGTTTTCCTAATTTGGTATGGTGAGTTATCTCTAATATATCTTGAACATTTTAGGTATGATGTTATGAGACTCCAGATCATATTTAAACCTCCGTTTCAGCAGGTTTCCTTTGACACTATGCCTGTGGTAAAGGGAAATGCCACCTGCTGCCAAGTGGGGGTCGAAGTTTAGGTTCCCTACTCAGTCTGTGTTGACACCTGGGCAGGAAGGGGTGTCTTCTAACTGAGGGGTGGGGCTAGGAAGTCAGGCTGGTACCAGCCAGTGCTTCAGGACGTTTATGGTCTCTGCTGACCCCAAGACTGGGGGACACTTGAAGGTGGAGGTTGTTACCATTGTAGAGTAGTGACAATCCTGGCGCTCTACTAGATCTAGTCTGTCACCACACTGGAGGATAAGGAGGGGGGCTCCTTGTTATTAAGAAACATGAGTGGAAGTTCAGAGTCCTCATGTGTTCTTCACTAATACTGCTGGGTGGGGTGGTGGGGGAGAGGTCTGGGCTCGTTGCCACCAGATACCCGAGCCCTCCCTTGGCCTTAGCTGGCAGTACCCCTGGTTTGGACAAAGGTTACTTTATGTATGGCCTGGTAAATGCAGATGCCTAAGGCTCTCCATCTGGCTCTTGCACCTATGTCAAAAGTTAATTGACCAATTATGTGTGGATCTATTTCTGAACTATTCCATTTCGCTGATCTATTTGTCTTTTTTATTTTTAAAATTTTGTATTTCAGTATATTTGTATGTTTTTATGCTAATACTATGTTGTCTCAATTACCACAACCCTTCAACTTTTTCTTCTATTTTGTAGTTATTTTAGCTACTCTAGGTCCTTTGCATTTCCATGTGAATTTAAAAATTAGCTTGTTGATTTGGTCATACTTGTTTCTATTGCAGCTTACCACTGCAATAAGAAAACAGGGTTATGTGTTGCCTAATTTTGTGATCCTTACTAAATAATTAAAACGTGTCCTGAAAACATCGAAAATTTAGCAAATATAGATAAACAAAAATTTTAAAGCTACATTAAAATTACCCAGACTTTGAATTTTAAAAGACCATTTAAAAATGTATATTATAAAAATCCAATAACATATGACATAGTACTTATGTAGACATGAGTGTATTTCATATACAGTTGACCTTTGAACAGTGTGGAGTGCAGGGTTTAGGGGTGCAAACCCCACTGTCAAAATCCATGTATCAGTTAAATTGGCCCTACGCCCAGCCACAAATTAAAAACACTGTATGTGTAGAGATGTCATATATATGTAGTTATACAAATGTGTATTTATTCATACACATAGGAGAAAGTTCAGGAGGTTGTATACCTAAATATTAGTGGCAATTATCTTTGAATGGCATGGTTAAGGATGAACTGTGTTTAACCTCATCACACTATTCTCACCAAGCTATTAAAGACTAATGTAAGATTTGTTTTATTACTATTGTTATTCTTGTATAATTGATGCTTTAATAACAAACATGATTTAATGAGATTCAAAGTTTTGTTCCTTTTCATTTTCTGTGGGTTTTTTTTTCCAAAATAGTTCCATCAGAGTCCTTTTGTACTGCCAGCCAGCAAGAATAAACATGTCAATAAACAGTGCAAGTCGATGCGTCTTCCATTTGCAAGGTAATTGCTTCAAAATTTGGTTAAATATTAACTTGCACACTTCTACCTAAGTTGTACTTTGAAAATTTTTAATTTGGTTTGCTTCCTTGAAAAATAGAAAAGCTTTTAAAAATAAATAATGAAAAATAAAAATAAAAATAAATAATAACATTGTACCAATAAAAAGAAATTGAAGACATAATATAATAGAGTTCAGTTTTACATTTTAAAATAAAATTCAGCTTTTCCATACATTCTAGAGGAGGAGGCACAGATGGACCTTTAGTTACATGAGTTTAAATTACATTGGCTCAGAGTACTTAAATTTGTATATAACACAATAATTTTTGTGTGTGTTATGTAATGTTTGAGTTTCATTAACTTGGAGTTGTCTACTAAGGTAGGAATCAGATGGATTGTAGTATCTTGCTCAGATAGTAAATCCAGGGCTCCAAGGAAACTTCCCCTCATTCAGTCACTAAGTTCATCCCTGGATCCTACCGCTCTATTTCTTTTCTTTCTTTTCCCTCCAGTCCACTGGCCTCATGTTTTCTGCTGGCTAAATCTGATAATTTTTTCTACATTTATTAACTTTCATACCGACCAAGCTTTAAAATTAATTTCATTGTTGTTCTTCTCTTGACTTTGATTAACTTGAGTATAAGCTGCATAGTAAACACCTTATTTCAAACTTGTCATGTTAAAGACAGTCTCTGAGGTCTATAGAGGTAAAATGACTCAATAAATTAATAGCACTGACCAATATCCTCTTCCTCTTAGTGTTCTTTTGGTTATGTCACTTAAAGGTTTATTGCTTTTATTTAAGTGCACAAGTAAATACATTTATATATGTTGAACGCTATTTGTTCCATAGTAGAAAAATTTTCTACGTACTACGTTGCTTTCTATTCTTTGTAATTTGTTTCATTGTTTTGCATATTACACTGTATTAGCACCACATTGCACCAATACCTTTTAATTGCTGAAAATAATATATTTTGCTGTCTTGTAGTTACTTTAATTCTTTTTCAAGAATATTTGGCTGTCATTATGCACATATCATTTGATAAAACACACAAATCAAGTGTCAACTTGCCCTCTGTAATACTGCATTGTACTTTTAAGTGTATTTTTGTTTTCAGTTACATATCTGTTTTCAATTACATACCTGTTAGACAAGTGCAAAAATCTTTATAGAGTGTGGTTAATTTTTATAAGTGAACACTGTCATACAACCAATACCTAGACCAAGAAACGAAATATTGCCAGTAGGACCTCAAATACCCTTTGGACTTTCTAGTCACTACTCACCACCCACTCAAGGATAATATTGCCCTGACTTCTACATCATAGATAATTAATTTTGCCTAGATTTTAACCTCATACAATGAAATCATACAGTATATATGAATTTTGTCTCTGGTTTCCTTTTCTCAGCATTGTGTTTGTGAGATTCATCTGTATCAGTGAATGTAGTCATCAATCAGTTGTTCTCATTGCTGTATAGTATTCCATTGAATGATTATACCATAACTTCTCCATCTTTCTGATGATGAGCATTTACTTTTTCTCTAGGTTTGGTCTATTACAAGTAGTGCTGCTATGTATATACCTTTTAAGAGGTATATACACATTTCTGTTGGATATGTACCTAGGAGAGAACTACTTTGTTTAAATGTAGTATTTGGCTTTAGAAGAAACTGCCAGTTTTCTAAAAGGTTTATACCAATTTACATTTCTAACAGCAATATATAAGAATTCCTCTTGCTCTGTACCTCTATTTGTTTTTGTCTGTTTTTTTCACTTTAGCCATTTTGGGGATGTCTACTGGTATTACATTGAGGTTTTCATTTCAATATTCCTGATAATTAGTGAATTTAAGCATCTGTTTATTTTTTATTAGATTGTTAAATGGGTTTTTTTTTAACTTTATTATAATATTTTTCCTTTCACATTTAGGTCTTCAGTCTACCTAGAATCGGGCATATTGTGAGGGAAGAGTCATAATATATTTTTTTCATGTGTAAATCTCATGGCCTTACCCCATTTGTTTAGAAAAGCTCGTCCTTTCCCTGCTTCATTGCAGTGTCATCTGGATCCCAAGTCTTGTGGCTGCATGTGTGTGCATGTTTCTAAACTCGCTGCTCTAACTCTTGGTATTTGATAGTGTGAATCTCCATTTTACTTATTTATGTTTTTGTTTATGAATATTTTCTTGCCTCTTTGCATTTCCATGTGAATTTTAGAATCAACTTGTTACTTCACATCATGCACATATACATCTACACATTCTCTTATGGAATTTTGATTGGGAGTAAAATACTCATATTAATGGAAAAAAAGAGAAAAGTAGTATCTTCTCAATAACACAGAAAAGGCATTTGATAAACTTCAATAGCCATTTTTGAAAAAACTTTCAGCAGACTAGGAGTACCAGGGTTAATCCAAAAAAGAAAATATGCAAAACCCAAGAGCAAGCATTTGAATAATGGGAACATGATAACAATTCCCTAAGTTTCTCCTAAAGCCAAATACTATATCTAAACCCAGTAATTCTACAACAGAACTGTGTACATACATTTCAGAAGGCTTATACATAGCAGCACTACTTTAATAGACCAATACTAGAAAATATCACTGTTATTTGGGTTCATTTGCTCGCCCCCTCATACTTTCTTTGATGTTACTATTTATTCTTTGAATTCAAGAAGGTAGTTTGTCAAATTGCCAGTTATTCATGTGGGTTTCTGTCCTTTCCAGCTCCCTCCCGTCCCCTCTCACACAGATTGAACTACTCTAGGAACATGGCTTGTTTATATGGATGTCTTTGCAAACAGCAAACTTCATTTCACACATAAATTTACAGATGATTATACTCGTTTGAAACCAGAGTAAGAGTTTTGAGTATCCCATAGAATTAACTGTAGGAAAACTACAGATATTATATATGAATATTTAAGAGTATATTTGAACTTTACTTAAACGTTTCATTATTATTATCCTAATAGCCCACCCAGTGTTTATATCAGTTATCCCCTTTTGGGGCCTCTGGGGCTATGAAGATAAGCATTCTTGTTTTACCCGAAGTTCTGCGCTATTAGATACTGTCTTCTTCATGCCACCTGTAATTGTCCTCATTGAACACAAAAAGGTACCAGAGGGGATTTGTGGCTGGATCTTAAATAAGTGGGATCTGCAAAGAACTGTCCACGTGGTTTTCTAAATAATGTTTGTAAAATACAAATTTTTCATTCCCACTTGCCTTTAGGGTTCCATTAACTTCAAATGATGACGATGATGATGATGATGATGAAGAAGAAGACAAAGAGAAAATGCAGTGTGACAACAACATTATATCAAGCATGTCATCTGATGTTCCTTCTTCAGTATCAACAAGGCAGTCTTTATCAACTCAGTATAATTTGGAATTGTTATGTCCTACAGAAAATAACCAAAATGTTTGTGATTTAGACAATTCAGAACATATTTCTTCCATTGTTGACATACTTCCCAAAGGTGAGATTTTTTTTTTTAATTTTATTTTGAGTGTCAGTATTTAAAATAGTTTACATTCATCAGATTTTCTTCTTGATGGCCATGGTATATAAACAGTTAATAAGTTAGATCTTTCATGTTTCAGATTTTGCTGACTTCTATTTTTATACTGCTGGTGAAAATTTTAATTTAAAAGTAAATATGCTGAGAAATGTCAGATCCACAGTGACCTGGTACTGTTACTCTGGAAGCAATATTTAGAAATGTATCAGCCTAAAGAGCTTTTCTTGGTATATTAGCTTATGAATCAAAAGATGCCATATTAGTTTCATATATTAGTTTTATTTTCTCCTGTTCATAGTTATGAAAATTGTGGGCCTAGATAGATGTAGTGCTTTTTCAAAATAATAACCAATTAGTGGTAAAGCAAAAACTTGAGTGTGCATAATGGTTGAATGAGAGAAAATGATGACACATTTTATTTACATGGTATTTCAAAATAATAATTGTGCGGTGTAGCCTGACATGTATTTGTCACAGATTTTCCAACTGGGATATGGAATTATAACTATATTAAATTTAGAGCTTGAGTTACTTTTCTATTTTAAAAATTTAATTTATTAAATTATATATAATTTACAGAAACTTAGCTGTCTGCTGATAGCCTTCTGACTGTAGTTCTTATCAGAGTTATCACTCTTACTCGGGGTCATTTGCTGGCCTCCTCCCACTTTAGAAATATATGTTAATGGCTCTCCTGTCAGCTCCACTCCACTCTATTGTGGGGGCCAAAGCAGAGTGAGTCCTCAGTGTATATTTTACACAGATACAAATGTGGAATGTGACTCGCGACTATTCTCATCATTTCTGTTTTATTTTCTATCAGCATAAATTCTTTATAAGTATCTGAACAGGATACATTGTTGGAAATCCTCTCCGTGAAACAGCTTGATTTCTAATCTAATTTATTTAAAATAATGAACCCATCATTACTTGTTTCTGAATTTTCTTTCCCGTTATTTTACAGAAAGCTATTCTCACTCAGACCAAAGTTCCAAGAGTTCCCTAATGGGTGAGATGAAAAATTCCCAGCCTATCAGCCACAGAAAGGAGAAGCAGTCTCTTAGTAACATAACTAAAAGGAAAAGGCATGCATCATTTCTGGAATCAAATAATCCTTCTTCAGATAATCCTTGTGTGACAGATTTAGATCAACAAGGGATTTCAAATGCAAAATTAAATTGGAATAATGAGATAAATGATCATACTAATGAAATGAATATTCAAATGCAAGGAAACACACAGTGCCTTCCTGACTCATCTGAGTCTGCCAGTGAGCCTACTCCACAGTGCATGAACCAAGTTCAGAGTCATGATGACTTTCAATGGCAGAAAACTGTGTATGATGCCGACATGGATTTAACTGCTAGTGAAGTAAGCCAAATTGTTACAGTTTCAAAAGGCACTAAAAATAAATGTAATAAAACATCGAATGACTGTGGAATCAAAACTTTTAGAAAAGTGAAAGATTCAAGCTCTGACAAAAAGAGAATAAGATCAAAGAAACAGATTAAAAATAGTTCAGAAATGAATATAGAGAAAAAGATTGAAAATAAACCAGAAAAAAGATCTGTTGGCCTGAATGGCAACAGGGATTCAGAAGATCCAAATTTTATCTTCCGTACTGAACAGTTGACTCAGTTGAATATACCGAGGACAATAAACCTTCACAATGACTTTGATCAAGATGACAAACAAAACACAGAGGATGGTGAGAAGAAAAGAGTACCTGCAACAGATGAGCAAGAGGAAACATGCTCTTTCTCCCAAAGTTCACATAAATTCCAGCAGGAAAGTAAGTTTAATACGGGTCAAAGTTCTCTAGCTTGTAATAAAAATAAAGCTTCTAGACAGACATTTGTGATTCATAAATTAGAAGAAGGTCACTTATTCCTAAATCAAAAGGATAAAGAAACCATTTCTGAAAACCTAGAAGTCACAGGTGAATTTCAAATAGCCAATCTCGCCACCAAACATAATGGAAATTTTTGTGATTTCGAGACCCAAAATATGTTGGATTTGAAAAAACATGTCATTGATACACAACCTGTTCAGCAAAATGAATCAAAAATAAATAAGCTTAGACAGAAAGTAAATCGGAAGACACAAATAATTTCTGAAATGGAACAAATATACAGGGATAAGGATAAAGATGAGCATGGCCCAGAAAAATGTAGCTTTTCCATCCAACCCCAAGAGGATAAAGAAATCATCTCTGGAAACCTAGAAAATCCAAGTGAGTTTCAAACACCTGCCCTTTCTACCAAAAATAGTGAAATCCTATATGATTATGAGACTCAAAATATTTTGAGGGTGAAAAAGCATGTCCAAGATATACAAACTGCTTGTCAAAATGAAACAAAAATAGATAAGAAGCTTAGGCAAAAGGTATGTCGGAGGACAAAAATAATTTCCGAAATCAACCAACTATATGAGCATAATGACAAAGACAGGCATGACCCAGAAAAGGGTAACTTGTTTTCTTTAATCCACAAAGATCAAGGGATCATTCCTGAAAACCTAGAGGACTCAGAGTTTCAGGTAGCTGATCCTTCCACCAGAGGTAATAGGAACCTCTGTGGTTATGAGACTGAAAACATGTTGGGGGAGAAAAAGCGTGTTATGAATATGCCACCTGCAAAGCAAAATGAATCAAAAATAAGTAAGAGGCTCAGGGATAAGGGAAGTCAGAAAACAGAAATAATTTTAGAAACAAGCCAAATAAATGAGTCTAATAACAAAGGTGTACATGACTCAGAGAAAGGTAACAACTTTTCCCTCACCCAAAAGGATAAAGAAAGTATTTCTGAAAACTCAGAAGTCACAAATGAATTTCAAACAGCTTATCTTTCTACCAAAGATAGTGGAAATTTATATTATGAGACCCCGAATATGTCAAATTTGAAAAACCATGTAACTGATATGCAACCTGCTCAGCAAAATGATTCAAAAACAAATAAGAAGCTTAGGCAGAAAGTGAATCGAAAGACACAAATAATTTCGGAAATGAACCAGATATACAGAGATAATGATGAAGAAGTGCATGGCCTAGAAAACTACACAAGAGATTGCAGTTTTAAAATGAGTGAGTCTAAACAGAGACTTGGATGCCAAGGTATTATCAGTGGATACTGTATTGAAATCAATAGTAATGAAAAAGAAAATTGTGAGCAAATTTTAAATCCTTATAAACAAGTTAAAAAGCGTGGGAAAAAATCATCAGGCAAGACAAAGGACATTTTGGCAGAAGGTAAAAACAAACCTATTTTTCAGTTAGAGTCTTTACAGACATCTCTCTCCTTAGAATCAGGTTTAAAATATGTTACTAATGAAACAGATTCTGATTCTGGAAACCAAATGGAAGCACCTAAAAATATAACTCTGAATAAAAAGAGAGATGACCCCTTTGCAGAAGTGCAAAAAGGAAAGTGCCAAGTGAAAAGAATAAGTAAAAAGACATCCCAGTCAAAGAAAAGGAAGACGTTCATAGCTCCTTCTCCAGATAGCCATGAAGTAATGCAGATATCTGACCCCAGTCAGAGAGTATCAGTTGAAACTGACCAAGCTGACGAGAGCAAAGAATTGGAAAATCAGAAAATTAAGCCAGACTTTTATCCAAAAGTGTTTAATTCTTTATCTCAGATATATTCACCCAACATACAAGATTCTTTCCTTAACAGTGTTCATGAGGGTTCAAGACCTTTGCATATTTCTTCTAGTAAAAATCTGAGAATGAAAGAAAATTTCACCCAGGATTGCTCGCCAGTCTTCCAAGTAAGTGATATACAGAAGACAACAGGGATAAAATTTAAAGTCACCGAGAGAACACAAATATCAGGTAGGCCAATACTTGAAGCAACCAAGCTTTAAAAGTGGGGTTTTTTTTTTTCACTTAACTAGTGAAGTATTACCTGTTATAATTGATATTTTTATGGAATTTAAAAACTGTTTAACTATAGCTTGATCTATAGAGAATATGAAGGAATTTAAATAAAGCTTAATATTTTGGAAAGAACAGTGAGACTGTCTTGAACACTTAACAACCTAAGAAACAGATTGGCCTTTCCCAATCTGTTTTTGTCATTAGGCAGATATTTTCCTTTTTCATATGTTTGAAGGAAGTTGAGTGTTTTAAATATATATAGTAAGGAATTGTGCTGGATTGATTTTATTGAAAACAATTGCAAGATTCCTTAGGCTGGGACTTTTATGACAGTATATATTTAATGTGATTAAAGGTGTTTATTCTAGTTGTTTTAGAGGATTAAAAATAAACAATACCAACTCCCTTTGTTCAGGGTACATGTATGTAAAAGTTACAAATACAGTGGTAAATGTTGGAAAGGCTTTAATGCAAGCACACGTGTTATGCCAAGGGATGTAATGGGAAGTAATTGTGACTGGAGGAGCCTGCAAAGACATTATAAAATAGGTAGCATCTTAGACCCTAAAGGATAGGTAGGATTTTTACCTTACTGTTTTCTTCTTATTTTCTCCCAGTTATTAATGCCATAACACTCAAGGCAGAAAATTTAAAGCAGAGAATCAGAAAATAGCAGGAAAAACAATCACCCAGAACAACTGCAGTCAACATTTTGGTTTATATGTACAGATTTTAAATCATACTCTGTAAAACATTATTTATCTCACATTTTTTCTTAACACTGGATCCTATGGGTATTCCTTTATTACTAGAAATTTTTGTAATGGGAGCCTAACATTTTACTATATGTGTGTAGAACACAGGGATTTTTCTCGTTTTATTTAAAAATTGCTGATATATATCCCTGTATAAGTTCAACGTGTAGAGCATGATGGTTTGATGTACACATGCTGTGAAATGATGACCACAATAGGTTCAGCGAGCATGCATCATCTCATATAGGGACAACCGAAGACAGAAGAAAAAAAAGTTTTCTCCCTGTGATAAGAACTCTTGGGGTTCACTCACTTAATAATTTTCCTGTATATCATATGGCAGTGTTAACTAGAGTCATCATGTTGTACGTTATACCCCTAGTACTTACTTATTTATTTTGTAACTAGAAGTTTGTACCTTTTGACGAATTTCCCCTCCTCTTAACCCCCCTGCCTCAGGTAGCCGTAAGTCTTACCTTGTTCTGTGAGTTTGATTGGTTTTTTGTTTGTTTTGTTGTAAGATTCCACATATAAGCGAGATCATACAATATTTGGTTTTCTCAGTTTGACTTATTTCACTTAGCATAGTATCTTTAAAGTCCATCTCTTGTCACAAATGGTAGGATTTCCTCTGTTTTTGTCTGGCCAAATAATACTTCATTGTTTTATATACCATGACTTGTCCCATTCATCCATCTATGGACACTTGGGCTGTTTCACGCCCTGGCTATTGTAAATAATGCTGTTATGAACATGAGGGTGCAGATATCCTTTCCAGTTAGAGGACACTAGGATTTTGATGGATAAGGCTATTCCGGGTAAAAGGAATTCTGAAGCAAAAGAAAAACAAAAGTTCAGAGTGACAGGACATGTTAGAGGACATGATCCATCTTTCGTTCTCTGTTCTGTGTGGTATCTACCTTTCACAGAGTGGCCAAGCGATGACACATGTCTAGTAAATGCAGTAATCCGTGCGGTTCTGTGAATAGAGTTAAACCATGAAGAATTTTTCTCAGCCAACATGATTTCAGAATTAAAATGTGGGCTCCTTTGACTGTTTCAAATTTTAAGTGTCTTTTTCTCATTATGGCTGGATAATAATTTACAAATAATTGATTGTAAATAATTGTAGTGATTTACAAATAATTATAGTGCTACTATTGTAATTAAAATTCTGACTTGATTATTGTTAAGTTTAAAAATTTGCTACCAGTGATTAGCATACCACTAAATGTCCCCTATCTATTTCTATATCTCTATGTTTATAAATATTCATGAAAATAATATTCTTTTCAGGTGGTAGAACACTACAGGACTTGACAAATACCAATTTTGTTTCAAAAAACACTATTAAATTTGAAAATAATTCAGAAGATCTGTCTGTAGAGCAGCCAAGCCGAAGAAGAAGGTGCACTCCTCTCCATTTCAAGGAGCCAAGTCTCAGAGAGTAAGTATTTCAATCATATTAAAGTAATCTTAGTGTGATATTATAAAATATATACTTAAAAAATCCTTCCTGAATTAGTATTTGAGCACTTCTGAGTATCAATAAAACATGTATTATTCACATGTAATAACCACAATGTAATCTGAGTAAGATTTGAAGAATGTCTTTTATTCTTTGAACAGTTTTTTCTGAAAGTGTTGCCTGTGATTTGCAAACCACTATATATGTTATTCTCATTTATATATTTTCTACCTTGTTCCCCAGAAGTGTTTTTCAAAGTGGTTTTTATGTCCTTTCACCCAACATATCTCAATGAAGAAAAAAAATAGTACTTCCTCCATTTACCCATCCCTCAGGTTCAGTGGTTATCAATATTTTGCCATATTTACTTCATTTATCTTTTTTTTCTTGTACCATTTTTAAAGCAAATATTGGGTCATTTGATTCCTAAAACAATTCTGTATATATCTCTAATGTGTTTTACTCAAAATTTTACTTTTTAAAAGAATTAATGAAGCAGCTTGGTTTCTAGAACCTAATCATTTGGGATGTATTTTCAGGAGGATAGAGAAAAATATTCTTAAATTTTCTTTTTCAATTGATTTTGTGTTTGCTTCTTCTATAAAATAAAAGATGTGATGGTTTTGACAGGTTTTTTAAAACAGTAGCCAGCACATGGTAGCAATACAAGAGAAGGTGAAAGAAAAACAAATGAAAAGTTTAATAAAGGACTGAGAGCTTTTTAAAAAAACAACTCATGAACTATGGTTTACCACAATTTCATCCATTTGAGGTATATACAATTCAGAGATTTTTAGTATATTTGCAGATATGCACAAGACCTCATATTACTTTGAGCACATCCTTACTTTCTGACCCATAAGATGTTCCAGGCACAGATATTTTTTTTTTGTTCTAGTCCCCAAATCAGGCACTTCTTCAAAGACGCTGATCTCTTTGATTGAATAATTTTGTTTAAAAAACAGAACCTGAGTCCTAGGTATACTCACTGCTTATATTTTGTTGTATTAGTTATCAAATGCTGCATGATATAGTATTATCATAAACCTAATACCTTTAAACAATATATATGTGTTATTGCTCCATTTCTGTGGGCCAGGAATCTGGACCTAGCTTAGTTGGGTTCTCTGATTGGTGTCTCACAAAGCTGAAGTCATGGTGTTGTTCATGCTGCTTCTCACCTGGAGGCTCTGTTGGAGGAATAATTTGCTTCTAAGGTCATGTGATTGTTGGCAGAATTCATTTCCTTGTAGTTTCATGACAGGGGGCCCCAGCTTCTTGCTGTGGGCTGAAGGCCACCACCAACTCCCAGAGGGCACCCTCAGCTCCTTGCCACATGGGCTTCCCAACATGGCCACTTACCCCAAGCTAGCTAGAGAGTATCTAGAACAAATCCTGTAGCAAGGTGGAGTCTTCTATAATAAACTGTAATTACAGAAGTGAGACATCTCATCACCTTTGCCACACTATATTGTTAGATGCAAATCACAGCTCCTGTCATATTCAAGGAGAGGGGATTATACAAGGGCAGGAATACTAATAGGCAGGGCTCATGGCAGGAGGAAGGTCCTCCTGAGAGTCTGCCTATTAGTGATAAACCTGGCTCTCATGATCTATAATATATTTACTTATTTGTTCTTTTTCTAGCATACACTATATAAAGTAGTTTCAAAATTGATAACCCATATTCCCGTGAGGAACATATTTACTACTAAATTATAACATTTAGGTATAGTTCTCTTTGTCTTAGGTTACTTCTTTTCTTACCAACCCTTTAAATGTAATTATGTTTATTCCTTTTGTAATGTAGGTACATATGTTATTGTTTACATTCCAATTTCCCCTCCCACATTGGAGTGACATTTACTGGGGTTACAAGTCAGAGCTATACAAAATGGTATAGGCAGAGAAGGATCAACTCCTTTCATCCCTGCTACCCCATTTCCACTTTCCTTTGCTTCTAACCTATTTCACCCACTCTTGTGGGTCACCAGTTTCTTTAGTTTCTGGTTTATTCTTTCTCTATTTCTTTTCCACAAATAATTAGATATACATATCAACATCCCTTTTTTTCTTACATAAAGGTAGTATGCTATTCTGTTGGGCTTCATATTTTTTAATTTTTTATATTTTTAAATATATTTTGATTACGCCATTACAGTTGTTCTATTCCCCCCTTCATTCCCCTCCACCCTGCACACCCCACCCCCACCATTCCCCCCCTTTAGTTTATGACCATGTGTCTCAAGTTCTTTAGATTCTATATTTCCCATACTATTCTTGCCCTCCTCCTATCTATTTTCTGCCTACCATCTACACTACTTATTCTCTGTACCTTCTCCCCCCTTCTCCTCTCACTCCCCTGTTGCTAACCCTCCATGTGATCTCCATTTCTATGGTTCCACTCCTGATCTAGCTGTCCACTTAGTTTTCTTTTGTTTTAGGTGTGGTTGTTAATAACTGTGAGTTTGCAGTCCTTTCACTGTTCATATTTTTTATCTTCTTTTTCTTAGATAAATCCCTTTAACATTTCATATAATAAGGGCTTGGTGATGATGAACTCCTTTAACTTGACCTTATCTGAGAAGTGCTTTATCTGCCCTTCCATTCTAAATGAAAGCTTTGCTGGATAGAGCAATCTTGGTTGTAGGTCTTTGGATTTCGTGACTTGGAATAATTCTTCCCAGCCCATTCTTGCCTGTAAGGTCTCTTTTGAGAAATCAGCTGACAGTCTGATGGGGACTCCTTTGTAGGTGACTGTCCCCTTATCTCTTGCTGCTTCTAGGATTCTCTCCTTCATTTTAATCTTGGTTAATGTAATTATGGTGTACCTTGGTGTGTTCCTTCTTTGGGACTCTGAGCTTCCTGGATCTCCTGGAAGTCTATTTCTTTTGACAGATTGGGGACGTTCTCTTTTATTATTTGTTCAAATAAGGTTTCCACTCGTGACCGTTCCTCTTCCCCTTCTGGTACCCCTATAATTCGGATGTTGGAATGTTTAAAGATGTCCTGGAGGTTCCTAAGCCTCTCCTCATTTTTTTGAATTCTTGTTTCTTCATTCTTTTCTTTTTTTAAATTTTTTTATTGATTATGCTGTTACAGTTGTTCTATTCCCCCCTTTCATTCCCCTCCACCCTACCCCCCCATCCCCACCATTACCCCCCCTTTAGTTTATGACCATGTGTCTCAAGTCCTTTAGATTCTATATTTCCCATGCTATTCTTGCCCCCCATCTATTTTCTATCTACTGTCTATGCTACTTATTTTCTGTACCTTCTCCCCCCTTCTCCTCCTCCCACTCCCCTGTTGCTAACCCTCCTTGAGATCTTCATTTCTATGTTTCCACTCCTGATCTAGCTGTCCTTTTAGTTTGCTTTTGTTTTAGGTGTGGTTGTTAATAACTGTGCGTTTGTTGTCCTTTCACTGTTCATGTTTCTTTAACTTCTTTTTCTTAGATAAGTCCCTTTAACATTTCATATAATAAGGGCTTGGTGATGATGAACTCCTTGAACTTGATCTTATCTGAGAAGCACTTTATCTGTCCTTCCATTCTAAATGAAAGTTTTGCTGGATAGAGCAATCTTGGTTGTAGGTCTTTGGTTTTCATGACTTGGAATACCTCTTTCCAGCCCCTTCTTGCCTGTAAGGTCTCTTTTGAGAAATCTGCTGACAGTCTGATGGGGACTTCTTTGTAGGTGACTGTCCCCTTAGCTCTTGCTGCTTCTAGGATTCTCTCCTTCATTTTAATCTTGGCTAATGTAATTATGATGTGCCTTGGTATGTTCCTTCTTGGGTCCAACTTCTTTGGGACTCTCTGAGCTTCCTGGATTTCCTGGAAGTCTATTTCCTTTGCCAGATTGGGGAAATTCTCCTTTATTATTTGTTCAAATAAGTTTTCCACTGGTGGCTGTGCCTTTCCCCCTTCTGGTACCCCTATAATTCGGATATTGGAGCGTTTAAAGATGTCCTGGAGGTTCCTAAGACTCTCCTCATTTCTTTGAATTCTTGCTTCTTGACTCTTTTCTGTTTGGCCATTATTTGCTTTCTTCTGGTCCACTCCATTGATTTGAGTCCCAGTTTCCTTTTCATTGCTATTGGTGTCCTGTGCAATTCCATTCATTTCAATTAGTTTCGCCTTCATATATTTGTCTAATTTGTGGCTATAATCAACCAGTTCTGTGAGGATCCTGATTTAAATTGTGCGTCTGAGAGTTTTGCTATTTCTTCATCGCTTAGATCTATGGGCTCTGGGGCTTTGAGATCTTCTTGCGCCATTTTTGGTCTGTTCACGCCCTTTAAGTGTGAGAAGCGGCGCCTTGGACTCCCAGGTCGCTGGGTTGTGGGGCTGTATGTGGGGGCGTGGTCAGAGCGGGGAAATGGCGACCCCCTCTGCTGTTTCTCACAGCTGGGTAAGGAGCAGCACCTTAGGTGGTTCACCTGGGCCACTCAGAGTCGCTGGGTTATGACGCTGTATGTGGAGGTGGGGTCAGAGCAGGGAAATGGCGGCGCCCTCCACGGCCGCTTGCCGCGGGGACCCGCCCGGCCCCGGTCCAACCGCCCACTCCCTCGCCTGTCCACCCTCGCACAAATGCGCGACCTCAGTCAACACGCAGCCCCGCTACCCCGTTGTCTCCCCCGCGGTCGCTCGCTCGCTCGCTCGCTCGGTCGCTCACTAGGTCCAACCCTGCGCCTGGATTCCGCGTGCCTGAGTTCATCTGACCGAGTCCTCCTGTGCAACCCCACTTCACCAGCCGCTGGTTTCGCCCCTTACCGGTCAGGCTGAAGAATTTGTTGTTAACGGACTTCCGAAAAGTTCAATTTTCCGTGTTCTGGCTGTGTTTTCTGTTGCTAATATTTAGTTGTCTCTAAATTTGGTTGTGTGAGAAGGCACGGCACATCCACCTATGCCTCCATCTTGGCGAAGTCTCTTCATTCTTTTCTGGTTGAGTGTTTCTTCCTTCTGGTCTACTCCATTGATT